TTCAAAGATAGAGCAGAGCCCTTAAGCTAGCTATACACGTATATTACAATATCAAAGACTGCATCTTGACGTCATTCTGGTCCACCATTGAGCACACCATTTGACTCTGTTTGGAACCAGATGAAGGGCAAGGGGTACATGTTGCACGCACACTCTAATACATACAGCGAGACTGGGTGTTTTGCTCTTCATTTGGGCGTTCATTTAGGCGCGTATGCGTAGAGAAGTCTTCGTAGAGAACAAAGAGCGGCAGCCATGACAGTTCCCGATCTAGGATTTGTTTAATACTTCAACTCTGCTGAACCAACAGCTTGAGCTAATTGGTCGCGAACAAGCGGGCTAAGCCAGATTTTGTTTGAGGGATTCCAGAAATCTTGACCTACACCAAAAGGGGGCATTGCCCTACCTACTAGAGAAGTTTGGTTTCATTGGTGTGTATATTTGTTTGGTTATAGGGAAAACTCTCCTTGTCTTTTAAAGAAACTGAACAAGGGGCAAAAACTTTACCGTTGATTTTCTCAAAACAGCATTTTTCGGGATAGCCCCCTTGGGCTTATTAAAAGCGACCAATTGGCCACAAAGTTAGAGACCGCCAAAGTCAAAGTTCTTCAACCTTCTGTATTTGGCCCACCTTGCCAAGGTCAGAAAACAAAAACAAATTAGCTTGCGAAACCAGTTAGTTCTTTCAAAGCTTCCTGACTGAAGCGCTTCCAAATCGACATGAAGTCAAACGCAGGAAAGGAAGCCTCACATGCTAGGCCTACCGTAAACCAAGTGGAGAATGAGATTGCGTGTTTACAACGTTTTACCGCTCAACTTTGTCCCACTCTCCCAGATTTCACCCCGTTTGTTGCTTGATGATAGTTCACAGCAGACCAATGTTGTGTGTGTGTGAGTGTGTGAGTGAGTGCGCGTGTGCGTGTGCGTGCGCGCCATGTGGTCCCACGCGCGCGTGTGAGCCTGGTGTGATGGACTAGTACGCAATGCTCCCTCGCAAGGCACAGCAAACTTCTTTCTCAACGCGCGAGTGCTGCTTAGTGAATTGCTTGCTGGCTGGCCAAAAGCTGGTGGCAGTTATTGTGTGAATTGGAGAATCTTGGTTTGGATGTTTGGAAATTAGAAGCAAAATCAAATACGCCTTGTGCTAGTTGGATTCGTAAACAGGTCTCAGTCGTTGTACCAGCTTTATCATCATGGACTTTGACAGTTGGTATGTATAATTTGATTATTAAAGTGGGATGCCGTGCAGCTGGTGTGCGTGTTTATACGTGCGTGCGTGCGTGCGTGTGTGTGTGTGTGTGTGTGTGTGTGTGTGTGTTCATTCGACTGTGTGTGTGTGTGTGTTTGGATGCACACGAATATGTATAAAAATGTGTATACGTGTGTGTATGCAATTGTGTGAGCGCGCGCTTGTGTGTATGCATGTCTTTGTTTGTTAAAGAGAGATGTTGTGCTCTACCAACCATACTTTGTGTAACTTGCAGTAAAACGACGATTCTCAAAACACAACTCCAGTTGCATGAAAAGACAGTATTAAAAAAGAAAAAGAATAAAAACCATTCTCCCCTGGACGCTGTAAAACACTAAAGACCAAATTAAATTTTAAAACACAGACCAAAAAAAAAAGAAAGAAAGGAATGGATCGATATATAAACAGATAAATGAATATAAAACTAAAAGAAAATAATTTTAAAAGCGTAATAAAAAAGCACAACAAAACAAAACAACCCCCCC